ACACCTGCAGGAGAGAGGGTGAAAATAAACAAGTGTCTCCTTCTAGACATGCTCCTCTGTTGCATCATGAAGCCCAAGGTTCATTCAGGTCAAACAACAAGGATCAAAACTTAAACAGTGATTTAGGAAATGTCACAGTCTGTCGTCTGTGTATTTCTGTGTCTTCTCCTCTTCTGCTTGGTGTTTAATTAATTCTGCTTCTTCTTGTGTCCTTCTGGACTCTGTCACTTTCCTCTCATTCCTGACCTCTAACCCTACACACCTGTTCTAAACGTGCCACCTGCCCAGGTGCACTCATTACTCACGCTCCCTCTATCTTATTTCAAGCTCTCTTCTCCTCCGCTCTGCATCCGGTCATCGTTTTCTTTTTTCACAGACGACTCGGTCCTCCTCCTTCAGTTTTGGACCTGTACCCGTCCCGTTCTGCCCGCCTGGTCCCATTTACTAACATTGTTGCGGTTTTGTTGTTTAAAATCAATGATTTTTATTTGAAACTCTTGCCTCGTTCACCTGCCTACCAGTGGGTCTGAAAACTGAGGATTGTGTCAGAAAATACATAAAAAGATGTAACTTTCAACATTTGTACTCGTCTCACCTGCTAATTTTAAAATTTGATCAATTAGGATTATATATTCAGTATATTCTTCATAATTTCTGGTTCAACTAAACTGCGTGCTTATCATAAACATACAAATATTATTTCAACCAGATTATAGCTCTTCAATCATTTTATGTTTTTCATAACTAAAAACACAAAAATACACCAGAACCTATTTTACCTTAAATAACTTTTAATTATGTGCAATAGTTTCCAAAATACTCTCTGGTAAAAAAAAAAAAAAACCAAGATGTTTCATTACAGTTAATGTGTTAGATTAATAAATTATTCATTCATTTAATTTAGTAAAAATTGCTACTTGAGATTTATGAACAGTAAATTGCTCCTACAGAAATGCCATCCATTTAAAGGGATATTCTGGTTATTTATGACTGATGATCGGTCAGATGGTATGTATGTTCCTGTTGTTAGTTTTCTACATTTGTCTTGGAATCTAGCTGTTTTTTTTTTGTTGTTTTGTTACCTTTTCCTTTTAGCCATCCTATTTGTTTAAAAAAACAAACAAAAAAAAACTGTAGTATGAGTTTTTATAACTGTTTATTGTTGTCCATTGTTGTCATCTTTCTTTGTTAAATCAGGTCTCTCTTGTAAATGAGTCCTCGAGGCTCAATGGGATTTATCTGTAGAAATAAAGGTTGAATGATGTATGTATGTATGTATGTTTTATTGGTTCATTTCATTTCATCCAAACAACAAATATAATACAATTTAAAGAAAAGAAAAAAGATATACAATCACAGAAATAAAATGAAAGGCAGCAGAAGAAGAATGAGTTCTTATAATATCTGCCCCTTGTCCCCAAGTATATTCCAAACAAAATTACTATACAAAAGCAAGATGAATTAATAAAAATAAAAAAATAAAATAAAATAAAAACTTAGCTAAAATATAAGATCAACTGTAAACAATTTTTTTAACTCACATTATACTTAGAATTAAATTTTTTTTTTTTTTTTATCATCTTCTTGAATATGTACAAAGTTTTGGCATTTTTTAATATCATAATTTTTAATATCATAACATCAGTCATAACATCATGGAGCAGGAAGAAAGAGGCAAACGTCTTCTTCCAGTTTAGGCTAACGCCTAGCCAAATGAGTGCCATCCATCCATCCATCCATCCATTTTCATCCATCCATTTTCTTCCGCTTATCCAGGGTCGGGTCGCGGGGGTAGCAGCCTAAGTAGGGAGGCCCAGACTTCCTTCTCCCCAGCCACTTGGTCCAGCTCCACCGGGGGAATCCCAAGGCGTTCCCAGGCCAGCCGAGAAACATAGTCCCTCCAGCATATCCTGGGTCTTCCTCTGGGTCTCGTCCCAGTGGGACATGTCCAGAACACCTCACCAGGGAGGCGTCCAGAAGGCATCCTAACCAGATGCCCGAGCCACCTCAACTGGCTCCTCTCGACGTGGAGAAGCAGCAGCTCTACTCTGAGTCCCTCCTTGGTTGATCGAGCTTCTCACCCTATCTCTAAGGGAGAGCCCAGACACCCTGCGGAGAAAACTCATTTCGGCCGCTTGTATCCGAGATCTTGTTCTTTCGGTCACAACCCAAAGCTCTTGACCATAGATGAGGGTGGGAACGTAGATCGCTCAGTAAATTGAGAGTTTCGCCTTTTGACTCAGCTCTCTCTTCACCACGACAGACCTGTACAGCACCCGCTTCACTGCAGACGCTGCACCTATCCACCTATAGATCTCACGCTCCATTTTTCCCTCATTCGTGAACAAGACCCCAAAATACTTGAACTCCTCCACTTGGGGCAGGACCTCCTCCCTGACCCGGAGAGGGCACTCTACCCTTTTCTGTCTCAAGACCATGGTCTCGGATTTGGAGGAACTGATCTTCATCCCGGCCATGTCGCACTCGGCTGCGAACCGCTCCAGCGAAAACTGTAGATCACGATTTGATGAAGCCAATAGGACTACATCATCTGCAAAAAGCAGGGACGCCATCCTAAGGCCACCAAAACGGATCCCCTCAACACCTTGGCTGCACCTAGAAATTCTGTCCATAAAAGTTATTAACAGAATTGGTGACAAAGGATAACCTTGGCGGAGTCCAACTCTCACTGGGAACAAGCCCGACTTATTGCCGGCAATGCGAACCAGGCTCTGACACCGGTCATACAGGGACCTAACAGCCTGTATCAAAGGGCTCGGTACCCCATACTCCCAGAGTACCCCCCACAGGGTTCCCCGAGGGACGCGGTTGAACACCTTCTGCTTCCACAAAACACATGTAGACCGGTTGGGCAAACTCCCACGCACCCTCCAGGACCCTGCTGAGAGTGTAGAGCTGGTCCAGTGTTCCACGACCAGGACGAAAACCGCACTGCTCCTCCTGAATCCGAGGTTCGACTATCCGACGGACCCTCCTCTCCAGAATCCCCAAATAGACCTTACCAGGGAGGCTTAAGAGCGTGATCCCCCGTAGTTGGAACACACTCTAAGGTCCCCCTTTTTGCATAGGGGGACCACCACCCCGGTCTGCCAATCCAGGGGAACTTCCCCCTATGTCCATGCAATATTACAGAGTCGTAAGCCAACACAACCCTACAACATCCAGAGCCTTAAGGAACTCAGGGCAAATCTCATCCACCGCTGGGCCCTGCCACCGAGGAGCTTTTTAACCACCTCGATGACCTCAGCACCAGAGATTGGAGGGCCCGACCCAGAGTCCCCAGGCTCCGCTTCCTCACTGGAAGACATGCTGGTGGGATTGAGGAGGTCTTCAAAGTATTTCACCCACCGACCCACGACATCCCAAGTTGAGGTCAGCAGCACAGCACTCCCACTATAAACAGTGTTGGTGCTATACCGCTTTCCCCCCTGAGATGCTGGATGGTGGACCAGAATTGCCTCAAAGCCATGCAGAAGTCGTTTTCCATGGCCTCTCCAAACTCCTCCCATGCCCGAGTTTTTGCCTCAGCGACCACCTGAGCAGCATGTCGCTTGGACTGCCGGTAGCCATTAGCTGCTTCTGGGGTCCCACAGGTCAAAGAGGCCCGATAGGACTCCTTCTTCAGCCTGACAGCATCCCTCATCGACGGTGTCCACCACCGGGTTCAAGGGTTGCCGCCACAACAGGCGCCGACAACCTTGCGGCAGCAGCTCCGGTAAGCCGCCTCGACGATAGAGGCACGGAACATGGCCCACTCAGACTCAATGTCCCCCACCTCCCCCTGAACATGTTCGAAGTTCCCCCGGAGGTGGGAGTAAAGCTCAGTCTCACAGGAGACTCTGCCAGACGTTCCCAGCAAACCCTCACAATACGTTTGGGTCTGCCAGGCCTGACCGGCATCCTCCCCCACCATCGGCGCCAACTCACCACCAGGTAGTGATCAGTGGACAACTCTACCCCTCTCTTCACCCGAGTGTCCAAGACATGTGGCCGCAAATCAGATGAGATGACGACAAAGTCGATCATCGAACTGTGGCCTAGGGTGTCCTGGTGCCAAGAGCACATATGGACACCCTTATGCTTGAACATGGTGTTCATTATTGACAATCCATGACGAGCACAGAAGTCCAACAACAGAACACCGCACGGGTTCAGATCAGGGGGGCCATTCCTCCCAACCACACCCCTCCAGGTCTCACTGTCATTGCCCACGTGAGCATTGAAGTCCCCCAGCAGAACAAGGGAGTCCCTAGGAGGTGCACTTTCCAGTACCCCCTCCAAGGACTTCAAAAAGGGTGGATAATCTGAACTGCTGTTTGGTGCATAAGCACAAACGACAGTCAGAACCTGTCCCTCCACACATAGTTGGAGGGAGGCCACCCTCTCATTCACCGGGGTGAACCCCAACACACAGGCACCAAGATGGGGGGCAATAAGTATGCCCACTCCTGCTCGGCACCTCTCACCAGGGGCAACTCCAGAGTGGAAGAGTGTCCAACCCCTCTCAAGGAAACTGGTTCTAGAGACAGAACCATGCGTAGAGGTGAGTCCGACTATTTCTAGCTGGAACCTCTCAGCCTCACACACCAGCTCAGGCTCCTTCCCCACCAGAGAGGTGACATTCCACGTCCCAGTAGCCAGCTTCTGTAGCCGAGGATCAGACTGCCAGGGTCCCCGCCCTCGGCCACCACCCATCCCACATTGCACCCAACCCCTTTGGCCCCTCCCACAGGTGGTCCCACAGGTGGTGAGCCCATGGGAAGGGGGACCCATGTCTCCTCTTCGGGCTGTGCCCGGCCGAGCTCCATGGGTAAAAGCCCAGCCACCATGCGCTCTGAGTGCCAGCTTATGAAAATCATTTTTCAGGCTTTTAAAACAAGCTTTTCTCACAAAATGTCAGAAATGTGAAAGAATGCTACATTAGCTAATAATAAACATCTGGACTTTTTTCCTGTTTTTAGTTTTATACATTTGTCTTGGAATCTAGCTGTTTTTTTTTTGGTTTTGTTACCTTTTTCCTTTTAGCCATCCTATTTGTTAAAAAAAAAAAAAAAAAAAAAACTGTATTATGAGTTTTTATAATTGCTTATTGTTGTTGCTGTTGTCCATTGTTGTCATCTTTCTTTGTTGAAATCAGGTCTCTCTTGTAAATGAGTCCTCGAGGCTCAATGGGATTTACCTGTATAAATAAAGGTTGATTGATTTTGAAAGTCTTTTCAGCATGTCCATGTTTTCTGAACAACATCTTTGCTGGCCCTTTGCCTGGATGAAGACTTTTGCCTCTTTCTTCCTGCTCGGTGACTGATGAGAAAACTGTTGGGCAGAATATAACTCCAGCTGTTACCATGACGTACATTTGTTTCCGTTCAGCCGTCCAGATGTTGTGAATAGATACCATACCATTTTATTTAAAGAGCACTTAAAACAGCGACAAGGCCAACCAAAGTGCTGGACTTGTAACATGGACTTGTTCACTTAAAGAACATTTCCATTAATTAAGTTGTAACACTAAAACTATTTAGGACTTAGCTTAGACCTGAAATGGAAATAAATAAATAAATAAATAGGGCAGCACGGTGGTTCAGTTGCTAGAGTTGCTGCCTCTCAGAGAGTAGGTCACCCTGGTTCGAATCCCGGCAGGGGGCCTTCCTGGGTGGAGTTTGCATGTTCTCTCCGTGCTGCGTGGGTTTTCTACAGGTACTCCAGTTTCCTCCCACAGACCAAAAAAATGCATGTTAGGCTGACTGGTAACTCTAAATTGTCTCTAGGTGAGAGAGAGAGTGAATGTTTTTTTGTTTTTTTTTTTGTCTCATTTGTCTCTATGCGTCTCTGTGATGAACTGGAGACCTGTCCTTATTATTTACAATAATCCATATTTACACACGTGCTTCTTATTATTTACAACAAGTCATATTCAGCCCTCGTCACCTCTTTGGAAACGCCTCACAGAGCAGTGTTGTTACCCAAACCCCCTTGGAATTCAGCCATTTGCAGCAGTCTAATGTTTCAGACTGAAACCTCAGACATCCTCTCTTCCCACATCCTCCCCCCTCATCCTCCCCCACCCCCATCGTCCCGCCATGTCTTTCCGCTCACCAGGAATGCAGCGATGGCTCCCCCCGTGACAAAACCAGCCAGCACATCGCTCCAGTGGTTCCGATGCTCTGTCACTCTCACGACCCCCACCAGCGATGCCAGAGACAGCAGGACCAGGCACAGAGTGGGCTTCATCAGGCGGGTCCCTTTGGTCCGGAACACCAAGGTCACATACATCTGGGAGGAAGAGACATGTGGAGAAACCATAAGATAAGGATCTGATTTCATTCAATTCAATTCAGTTTATTTAGCTCTTA